AGGCGTCCCCGTAAGAAAAAATCTCATATGGATAAATCTGGGGACCGAGGAGGCCAATGAACATCGCCAAACCTGGAAATAAGGTGACCAGGGAAGAGAGGGCGAATAACGTCCATGGATGCTCGGTCTGTGTGGGAGGTCGCCCCATCCTGCTGGAACCACACACGTCGGATTGGAACACGTCGCCGTCGTAATTCAGGGAGAAAGAACTTGGTGATCATGTCGATGTAGCGCTCTGAGTTCACGGTAACGTCACGACCATTACCGTCTTCGAAGAAGTAAGGGCCAATGATGCAAGTTTGCGATACAGCGAACCAAACCGTTACTTTTGGGCTGTGCAGCGGTCTTTCGTGTAACTGTTGCTGATTTTCAGTAGCCCAGTAACGACAATTCTGCTGGTTAACCATGCTGTTTAGGTAAAAGTGGGCTTCGTCACTCATAAACAAAATGATGTTTTGATCGATCATTGCTTCCATCTCACGTGCGAAGTTCATTCGTTGTGCATAATCTCCGGGCTGTAACTGTTGTACAATGGCCAATTCGTAGGGGTGAAAGCGGAGATCCATATGCAAAATTCGCCTTACCGACGGATCACTAAGGCGAAGTGCAGCAGCATGTTTCCGGGCAGATCGAGTCCGACTGCGGAACGCGTTCAACATTTTCAGGAGATCGAACTGTTCGCGGCGCTCCTCTTGGTCTTCTGTTGATCAGTTCACCACACCTGCGAAGTGATTCAACCCAACGAGGGATGGTGTTTCGAGAGGGAACAGCTCTATTCCGATGAATGTTGAAGTGGCGACGAAACTCACGCTGTACGACGATGACTGACTCATTATTTCGGACGAAACAATCAGGCGAAAACGCGGTGCTAGACCGTCCAAGGCTCCATAACGACAACTGGTAAAATTATGCTAGGGTCTCACGAGTCAAACGGGACCCTCCCCACCTCTCTCGTAGACAGAGGCGGAGAGAACTACCCATCCCAAAAACGTCCGTCCTCCGTCCTCTCTGCCGCACCCTGTAGATATCCACTCTTAGAGGTTTCTGGTGGTGCTAACTCTAAATGGGCATTTTCCGACTTACGCCTCTTTGACTTTCCAGCGACGATTATTTCAGACATCATAGGTTTCCCCGCACATTTATCTTTGAAGCTAGCTTCTGCCCGGCTTAGCGCCCGGCGTAACGGTCTGCTTGATTGTTCTGCTTGTACTGCAATAGTGCTTAGATGGGCGCCTCCGCATCTGACGATATGGGATAGGGCAACGTTGCCAGATGGAGGATAACTACCGGTATCGCAAGGAAATAATGTCTGTGGACTAATTGTGAGAGGTTGAAGAACTGACTTGATCTTCTTAATTTCTCTATTCAACATCTTCGCTTTTTTTCGTGACGAGATATTTGCATTTGAAAATGACTCGGAAATTAGTTTTCTGACAATACATTGGGGTATCTTTCGATACGCTTGAGATATATGGGATAAGACCATTTTCTATAACTTATTCTACACTGACATTTGTTTTTGAGGCCCACAATTTGATTGTGCAGTAGAATGTTGGTATGAAATCAAAATAAATTTGGAATACCTCTTTAAAATTTAATGCTCAATGCAAAACAGTTTGAAAGGTATCAAAAAGAGGTATTATGGTCTGTAAATGACGCGCTATACAAACTACATTCAAAGATATTCCGCATCCGTAGACATCGCCGATTCAAGATTTTCATGGAGATATATTAACAACTTGAACTATAAAAAAACATTTTTTATTTATTTACAAATGGACTTCGCCAACCTGTAGCTTAATAACGAGAGTTTGAATATTCATTGCCCACTAACCTGTTTTTATTTTATACGTACATACTCTTTCAATGTTAAGTATGGAGCTGAAGAAAGTAAAAAAATTCGGGAAATTCTAAACTAATGTACATAAGTACCTCACTAGGCGTGTACAAAAGCGTAAAACAAATTTATGCTATCCTAAATTATCCTAAATCATCCACTTTTGACTGGACGCTGACAGTACTGTATCACTGGAGTGCAGCAAGTTATCTTTGACGTTTCTTCTCTTTTTTTTGTGAAGTGTTTAATTATTCACCTATGTATTATGTGTTCATTCAGATCACTAATGTTTTTCTATTTTCTTTTTTTTGTTATTATTTTCTGATTCATTGTCTATATATATATATATATGTATATGTGTATATATGTATGTGTGTGTACATATGTATGTATATATGTGTGTTCATGTGTATATATGGTACCATTTTGTTTTGATTTCCTGTGATTGGGTGTATACCTGTTGGAAATAAATATATATTATTATTATTATTATTATTATTATATAGCTACTGTACAGCGTATATAAATGGTAATGTATGGCTCTAACGCCATTCTAAGTACTAAATGACCCGTAGCCTCATCATTTTGGAATATATAAAGGAGAAATAGAACAGGCTAAAGACCCACCAGTTCTCACCATCTCGTTTAGATCACATATGTCTTCTTAGAAGATTAAAAGATGCCGCTCAACTAGACTGTCAGAAGTAATTTGCCTATACGAAACTCGATGATAGCACACTGAAATTTATTACATTAGAATTTGAGCCGTATAAATCATCAGCGAACAGGAGCGGACTAAGCACGCAAGTATTTCCTGATACATGCGACCTCGTTAATCAACTTATATGTTTGTATATTTAGAGTTGTCCTGATCTAAAAAATATACCACTTGATTTTGATGGTGTCCATTATTCATAATCTCTAGTGAATTTTTACATGACTGATTTCTTTTGGAAGGATCTACCCATGTACAACATTTTTAAAAAAACATGTATTTTTGAGCCACTGAAACAAGGGTATAAAAAAGTAAAGCGGAGATCCTTGTGCCGATTATGTTGAATTTTGGCAGTACTGTTCACTGCATCACTGCAATAAGACGTAAAGTTAGCACTAATGGAAGATAATTATGAATTCCAGTGGCGTGTCGGGGGGCAGCTTCTTGAATGATATTGACGAAAAATGTACGACGCTGACTTTTTCATTAAATATATATTTTTTTCCAATTAATCATCTAATGATACAGCTTTTTTATCTCCTGGTATCTCTTCGAATCTTACTTCGTTTGCAAGGGGAAAAATAGAAACGACTTCAAAACATGTCGAAAAATCAACTTTGATTGTTCCCAACATCTGTTGTTCTGGTATTATGAACATACATATGTTTTTGACCTGAACTGAAGGTTTGCTGTTATTTTTTCTGTCAAGTGCCATATTTTTTAGTCTTTGTTGAGAATCAGACTTCTCTTAGGATATAAGTTTAAATGAACTCTTCTACCTAAATCCGGTCCAGGAATACGCCTTTGTAATCACGGCCGTACACCCTGTACAGAAAGATCGCAATGACGACTTGTGAATATCTACGGTCGATAGTGGGTGTATCTACCTTTCAAGCCTCATAACTCGAGGCATAACTATAGTTGTGATATACGCTGGTGTTTACCTTTTGCATGTGCAGATGAATAATGATATGTACAATGTAATAGAAACTTTGTTTGAATATATATGTGGTTAGTATATAAATGGATGGAATCACTGACCTTTGACACTTCGTTTCGAAGAATATACATATAGTATCCTTGCTGAATCAGAGGGCGTGAATAAGCAAAGGTAGGACGATTGTGTTGTTTATGGTTCGGGTTAGATATGCGTTTGCAAAAAAGCGAATATCAACCATTGGGTATCCTTCGTTGTCTTCTTTTCGACTTTTTCATCTAAGAGTTCATCGTCTTTAGTTTCGATAGCCTTCTGTATTTTGAGTCTCCTTCTTAAGAATCTTTCATTTCTGTAGTAGTTCTTATGTATGTTTTCTATCTTAAAGCATCTTCTTTTTTGTCGTTTTCTCCTTGGCAACCCTCTTGATTCATTTTTCTCCCGACCTCCATTTTAATGCAATATTTATACTTCTTTTTCGTATTCTTCGGTATGTTCTTGTTCCATACGAATCCCTTAATTGATGAAAGAATGGGGCAATCACAAATGTCTTCAACAACTGTCTCACTTTACGTCTGCACGTGAATGTATGCTAAACTCACATTAAAGAGATGACTTCTTAGTTAACAGATGGGAGCAGATAGGACCTTTTCAGTCTTTAATAATTTTTCTAAAAATGTTACAAGGGCACAAACTTTTAACATGGTTCAACCCTTCCACAGTTACGTGACAGCAGGCAGTTCCAATTTTTATTATCCTATATATGCATTTCCTTTCTGCGCAGCCTCTTAATGCTTGTTATCATCATTATTGTTCACTACTAAGGAGTTTTTTTGTCATAGTCGCGAAACATTTTTGCTATGTTTGTTATTATGACATCATCTGTATTTATTCTGGATGCATACATACTGTTTACATGAACATTCCATCGTCAATAAAGTCTCGAGCTTAACCTTGTATCTATCACTTTCACTGATTCATAAACAAATTATAGTATCTCAGTATGTACAAAACAAATAAGTGCTCTTCTATTCTATCTAATGTAAAGGATACGTTTGCTCAGTTTAAATTGTTCTTTAATGTTCGTACTTGTTCTAATTGCCTTGGTAGCTCCTGATCAAGACATGCTTTCTTGCGTTTTGAAAGGAAAATGCTTCAACAAAATTGGGTACTAGTCGGACTACGGGTACATGCCTACTAAGCGGCGGGTACCTTAATTAATAAATGAAATAAAAAAAAAATTGAAACAAGCGTTTATTTAGGTGTTGATAAAGTGAACTAAGAATTTAAAAATTTATTTTATCCGGACTGCAAATATTTAACCGATAATGGAGCTCCTTCATCTCAAGTTTTTAAATAAGAGTGTGTAATACCCCTTTTTCATCCAAAACGTAACACGCCTTCATTCGAAACTTTCCAGTCGGAAAAAGTTTGTATATATTTTTCATACTTATGTACTTACTTTATTTCAATTATAAAATTTCAGTAGATATAGATCATATAATGATAAATCCATATTTTGCAGCGATCACCATGTGAAATTTAGGATGATGTTATTTGCTTATTGTATTTCTCCCGTTAAGCCCTCTCATTTTATACCCACATCATAGCGGTGATCATGAAAATTATGAATCTACATTTTGCGGCGGCCACCCTATTGGATTTAGAATGACGTCATGTGCTTATTGCGATTCTGTCATCAAGCCTTTTCATTTGCTACCTGTATCATAGGAGTGACTGTGAAAAATGTAAATTGCTATTATGCAGCGGCCGTCATATTGGATTTAGAATGACGTCACTTTGCTTATAGGGTTTCTCTCAACCTGAAAACAAAGTTTCAGCTCAGTTGTTTAAGATTAACTTGTGTTATCGCACGTAACTTTGTTATCCTGTCTATATTCCTAGTTATAAGTTGTAGAAAAACAATATAACTAACCCTGTGCTCAGTTGGTAGGTAAAGTGACCTCAGAGAGTGGTTCTTGGTACTTTGGTCTTTGATACAAATGGTTGGGGTCTGGGCGCCACCTAGTTCCAAGAATTAGGAAAAAGGAATAACAAGTAGTACCTTCCCCCCTATCAAAACTTAAACTGACTGCCAAATGATGGGTCCCACAAATTCACAAGACACACAAAAATTTATTGAACAAAAAAAAAGAAGGGAGACAAGCAAAAGGGAATTAGTTGGTATTAGCCCCCAGCTAAATGGTTTTCAGCAAAAACTAAAATTAAAAAATCACCTTGGTAGGTGCTTGGCTATTATAGAATTCCCACACAAGAGAAGGAATAGCTCCTATGGAGCCTCTCGAAGAAAATGTCACCCAAATGGAAGCTCCGAAGCACAGGTAACCAAGGGTAGGAAGCCCCAGATGTAAACCAGAACCAGAAGGTAGAACCCTAAATATGAAAAACTTGTTAAAAATAACCAAAAATAACGATTTGACTAATAATCTACCCTTTTAATTTGCTTCCAAGAATTAAAAATTCAAATTTAAAATAGAACCATTAAGTATTATTATTATTATTAAGGGTTACATAAACTCGCAAATTTTAAATTAAAACAAGCTGCCGTTCAATCACGGTGAGCAAGGGAAATCGTGATTGCATTAGCAATACCTAAATTTTCAAATTAACCTGAACTAAATTAAAATAATCAGACACTTGTAAAAAAACATAAGGATCCGGATGTAAAATATTCCACGACCTAGCTCAATCTATAAGTAAGGCAATTAAAATGTTACTTGAGAACAGGAATATTTTACCTCGTGAGCATGGATCACTCAAATTTTAGTAAATTAATATACAACCAAAATCAGAAGCTACAGCAATATAAAAATAACACTTTGTATATTAATCTCTCTCATAATACAGAACTATATATAGATATATTATACCAATGAGAAATCCAAAGCATTTCTCTCTTTTTACTACTAAATAAGATGATGAATTAATAGCTTTTGACGAATTCAAAATTGACCTAAACAATGGATAACTAAATGGTCAAAATATAACCCTGGTGTTACATAAGAATGCCTAAATTGGCACAAATAAAACTACTGATAGTTTTATGCTCAATTTTTGAACGAAGTGGTTGTGTTTTCAATTTGTACGAGATTAAGACAGGCCTGGCAAAGTAAACAAAATCATAATTACCTCGAACAATGACGGTCCACGGAAATGGGAGACTTTCCTCTTGGACGTGAGTCCTACTTATAGATCGTGTCGGAGAGTTAATACAGACTGCTCCCCTCTATAGAATCAGAAAACATGTTGAGAAAATGAACATGTGGCTTGGAGAAAATGGTCACTCACCAGCTCGATAGTTTGGGTGCAGCTGCAACAACGACTGAGTACCCAAGAGGGTGAGAAAAGGGCCGCGACAACAAAATTCACCACAGGAAGCCGATTTCTATCAAAATTACCACAACCCGGCGAAAGCAGCGCTGACTGTGAAATTTCTTCACTAACGCAGGTTGTGGCTGTTGAACTGCTACACGAGAGCATCGGAAATAGCAACAAGTTACGTTCAGCTCTCGTATTTAGGGTCGACGGAAATTTAGAAAGAAAATATGAGTTGTTTAACCTCGCAACGACAATTCTATAATGAAACAATTCCCGTTCCGTGACCATCCCTGCGTTGACCATACCGCACGCCCTCTATTGTCGAACAGGATCATCAACTACTTCCCGGCAATTACCTTTAAAGAGATCGGGAGTAGAGTACGATCCTACACCACAGAACCATAAGAACAAGAGAAGTGTTTTGCAATAAAAATAAAATTCAATATTTTCTAAAAAAGAAAAACGTAATAATTTACATGATAAAAATATAGTTAATTTTTAGTCGACCATAAAAAAATTTGTAACACTTGTTATTTTTTGAACTAGGCTAGATAACAAGCTTAAATTCGTTTTTCGATTTTTACGGTAAACACGGAATAGTGGCGGGTACAAGGATACCGAGCTGACTAGTGACGCAAAGTGTATTTTCACACTTGCAATGATGCACCTCAACAAAAAGAGCAGTTATATGATTTAGTTGTTTTGCTGTTACGTGTGGTTGCGGCCAGACGTGAAAAATGCGTGTATGCGCGTCGTCGATGCTCTCACCTGGCTGCACTGTGCACTCTGCGAGCTAAACCCAGACGCACGTTGCCATTGCCATCTTAAACAACAATACGACTCAATTAATCGAACGATTTTATTGCAAAGTCGTGCTGCACGACCGATTGTACGTGGAGACGTTTTTCTGCTCTTGAGGTCTTGAGAGAGAAATTATTGAACTTGTCTGAGAGGAGTTGTAATTTTTCTCTCCCTATGGTTAGTTAGGAAAATGAACATCATGTGCATATTTTTTTTCAAGACCTAATATTCTTATATGCTGAAGCAAGCATGGAGGCTAAAATATCGAGGTACCAAAGAAGTTAAAGATATTTTGCTGTTCCAATATTTGAATTACCTAAAGTTAGTATAAAATTTAAAAAATCATCCTTTGGTAGACACATTATAGATACTTTAGGAATGAAATATAGAACTCGACCGAGTAATAAGGACGACGCACCTACCCAGAAATCCTAGAATACGGCTGCACCATGGAAGAGAGCTCAAAGAAGTAAAATCCGTCAGTAAGTAGGTACAAAGGAGCCAAATCACACACTCTATGTCGCATTTTATATGCAAAGAGAGTTTTGAGATTGAAATGCACCATTTGTTCCCTAGTGAAACCGGGCAGTCAGCCTTGCAGGCTCTCCGCGAGCCTCTCAGGGGTTACATGACAAGTTCTGTCATATGAAAAATAATGGATAAGCTTTACTATGTGGGACGAAGTCATAAATGTGGAGCAAAAAATATATTGGATCTGAAATGTTCTCCGAAACATTTCGTATCAGTCAGTTTGTGGACTGGTTAGGCGCTGTTCTTTGGAAGCCATAAAGGACAGGCAAACCATAGTTTTCATGTAATATCCTGTGGTTTTCATGTTGGTATAGTTGTAGTCGCCGTTCTTGCCGGTTTACGTCATCAACGTGACATGAAATAAGTAAGCAGATCGAGTCTCCGTACCATGGGCGGATCTTAATTTTTGTAACTGAGGGAAACCGATTCAAAGTTATTTACTAATCGTAATTCTCATAAATCTTCTGATCTTGTATATAAACATGGGTAGAGTATGACACGCCATTTGATGTTTTTTAAAGTTGACAAAAAAATACATACGGAATTTACAATATAATAGTACAAAATAACACATCTATTTGCTAACTAACCTTTGTATGCATGGAGTCGTGGTAGTCAGCACTTTTTGATCTTATAGCAAATAACAATGCAGTATCTCTCAAAAAACCGTTATTGGTCCAAGCATGGAGAACAATATACTGATTGCCGGTACCCTGATGGCCGCTTTTGAAACTCTTTACGTTTTTATCTTGCCAAACTCGTTGAAGATACCACTGACAAAAGGTCACACGCCTTGAAAAATCAATGGAAAGCAATGTCTGTACTCTTAAAATATGGTAAGGATATAACAAAAAATCCACTAAAATTCTCCAAACAATTTGATGGCAAATATTTAAGTGCCTAGCGATCTTCAATTTCAAGTGTTCTCACATTTAGAGGTCTACATTCAGGTGTTCGTTTTCAGACAGAACCAGTTTCAACAAGACGACGATGAATATTAGAAAAGGTTCGACTATCTGGCAAAGCACGATCGGGATATCTCTGGTGATAAATCCGTCTGGCTTGCTCACCATTACAGTCGGCAAGGCCATATACGTAATGCATTTCCGCCATTTCTGCATTTGAATAGTTCACCATTATTAACAAGATTGTAAAAACTAAATAATGAAAAAGATGTCACAATGAACAGATTTGAATAACAGAGACTTATCAGATGTCAAAAGCCAGTGACATATTCTAGAGCAATTAGATATTTATTGCTAAATTGCATTCTTCAATCATTACATTAATTTTCTCGGACAATAGAACGGTTTTTATATAAAAAATGCCGCATTGAAGGAAATCAACTCGAGAGAGATCATTTGCTTTAAATTAAACGAGGAATTCAAAAATAAATTTTATTTGTCAAACAACCATTGGCGTACCATTGTTTTCTTAAAAATTATCGAAGTCAATACCCGTACGCACGCCACTGTTAAAGCTAATTATTATTTTTGCATTGAAAAATATGCTACTTTATTATCTTTCACTACTAAATATCAGTGAAATATCTGAAGCGGTTCTGAAAATATTAATTAATTTCCATTTTTTTCCTAGAACTTCAACACCCCGAGTCTTTGTAAGGAAACATTTTTGGACCATAGTTTATAAAGCAAACTAACATTAATTTTTCATGTAGAGTCACACCCTTAAATATTCGCATAACATTAAGGACTACCCTGTATAAAGGGATACTGGTAGTCTTACTTTGACGCGCCAAGAACTGTGACTAGAACTATAATCTCCTATGCTTATCTGGCCGAATCAAAACCAGATATGTTTGAAATGTATCTTTGTTGGACGGTTATAGTTTTTATTATACGGAAAGTGTAGTATGTATTAAGGTTATGTCGTGGTGCGGATTTCATTTCTTGGTAATATTAATTCTCAATATGAATGTTCGGTAATCCCGTGGCTAAACTAAAATATCGTCTGATTCGCATTTAAACTTCAACGATCACTATGGACTTTCACAGACTCACGCACTCTTATCAGGTGATTACAGATTCATATGTAAATAACAAATTGTTGGGGTTACAAGTTCAAGTTTGGCTTGACAATCTATTAGACAATTTTTGCTATTGTAATTGAACTGTTTATGCTAATTTAATTCAATATGTGAACACTTATACATACTTCCTCAATAACATTAGCTTAGTTTTCAATATACAGATATTGAATTTATCTGCTACATATGTCAGCATATGCTTGGAACTAGATGTCGATAAGGGTATGAATCTTCGCCTTTTCAGAAGATACAACATGTCGGATTATCAGAATATATCTCTAAAATTATATTTTTGTTATTGTATTTTAAAAAGGATCACCGCGGTGGCCGAAACGATGGTAAATATTCATTTCTATGTCATCAGCGAGACAAGTATTTTGAGGAGATACTATATAAGAAGTTGGTTGAGGAAGTCTGAACCATATTAGTGTCTTCGGTTTGCGTCCTAACTATATTTAAACAATACAATGCATTTCAGTATGAATCTACTTTTTTAATGAACTTGGCCTTGTATAAACTCCAGATCTAGTCATATTCGGTACTTTTCAAAAAGGTATCCCTCTATTACCTACTGAACAGGTAAAGGTAGTAACCTGAACTTTGGGATGATGATATTGATTCTGATTTAACTTCGTATAATTCCCTGGAGTAATTCATTCCATAACTTCAACCGGAACTGCCTTTTCATATTTATGTGAATTATGTCATCAAATTAGCAGATGACTAAAAATAATAACGCAAAGCTGGGAAAAATTATTAAATATTTTAACGACGTGATAAGTAAGAGTTGACGGTTTTTAAATTGGTCCGAATTAAGGACACGTCAACAATATCCCGAAATGTATATGCGATTCATAAAGTAAATATCTCCTCACTAAATTGGATGTATCACCAACAACAGAAGCTAGCGCAGGCTGATGTCAACTCAATGAATTTATGTGGCATTTATGCAGCTTTCCTGCATTTTTAACGTTTATTTATATTTGTCATTGAGGTACTGTTATTTCCGAGATTTTTGTTTGTTATGCATTGCGGTCATTACATAGAGTATATTTTAAGTACGAGGAAAGCAATAATGGCATTTTTAAATTAATTCTGCTCGGATGTAGCCTTTCTAGTCTGGGGTTCCAAGAGATTTGTTATTACCACATTACTCCTATGATATGAATATTTAATAAAAAGACTGGATAAGCGAAGCGCAATAAGTAAAGCGACGTGATTCCAAATCCAATATGGCGGACGTCATGCAAAATCTATAATATATCGACCCTAACGCAAACCATTCAATTGATCCTTCTTGCACTCTAGTCCCGGGGCCTGATGATTAAGGTGTGGACTATTACGTAAACCAAATATGCTTGATTTTTTGATCTATTAATCAAGTATGTATTCCGTATTCACGTAATATATTATTCATATTGATCAAAATCTTATAATATAAATAAAGTTTTGAAGTCATATAAATAAAATAAATGTAAATTAGATACAAATTGCTTAATAGAGCTAGTTATTTGACATCTTAAATAATGAAGGGTAAAAAATAAATAAAATAAAAGATACATGTTTAAAAATGAGGTGTTACACAAAAAAGTAGTGTTATTGATTCAAGAGCACGAGTTTATATGATATTGATTCGAGATCACAGATACTTCAAATGAGGTGATTTCGTTGTTTTAAAGAAACGTAGCACTTACAAGGGAGAAATTGACCTTAATGAAAATATATATGTCTTAGAAACATACCGAAGTCACGGTCCTCAATTGAAGATAGTTGTTCTTGTACTCTTTTTTGTGTCTACTATAA